GAAGGTTGCAGGTTCGATTCTGGCTCTGACCAGAGAATGCTACTGTTGTGTCCTTGGGCAAGACACTTAACCCGTCTTGCCTGCTGGTGGTGGTCGGAGGGACCAGTGGCGCCAGGGCAGCTGTGGCTACATCTTAGCACATCCCCACCAGTGTGTGAATGTGTGTGTGAATGGGTGAATGACTGAGTGTGTTGTGAAGCGCCTTGGGGGGTTGTAGAACCCTAAGAAGGCACTTTACAAATACAGGCCATTTACCATTCAGCCATCCAATACTGAATAAACACATTAAGATTAGACAGTCTTGCAAAAGCTATTGGAGGAATTTCAGCATTTTAAACAAGTAATATTTTCCAATAACATTAATTTAATTCAAGCTCAAGCTCAGCAACACAAACTCAGATAAAATTTAAGAGTCAGAGGAGCGGTTGTGACCCTGGGGGTTATTAACAAGAAGGTTTAAACAGAGCCGGATTAAATAAATGGACTACACTAGGCAGGCTGCATTATTTGCCCCCCCCCCCCCCCCCCCATCAATGTTATTTTATGAAATGAAATCTGAAACTTACCAAAGTTACTAATAAAAGTTCATTCACATTTTTGTTTGTATGCCAAAATAAGTCATGTGTTGTATGTTAAACATTTTATCAGACTATTTTTTGATATTAATAATTTATACGTGATAACACAGCTGTGTTAAATGCTAATAAATTATCCTCATCTAGTGGGAGAGTCATTGTTAAGGTAGTAGTACCAGTAAATAACCACTAGGTGCCATTAAATTAATCAACACTTTTAATTAAAAAGATTTTATGCAAAATACAATAGCTTACAACATTTAAAATGTTGACAAATTAATCACATGATCGTGGAAAGACATTCAAGAAGAAATTAATTTGAATGGACTGAAGAATGTTTAAAGGCGCAAAAACAAAATATAAACACGCAGCCTAAATTATTACAGTATAAATGTTATACAATTTATAATCATAAAAGAAAGTATTTTAATAAAATGAAAACATTATCTTAAGTTTTGATCTTGCTTTATGCTCATTCAGGCTGTTTTTGCCTCTGCTGAATCAGAAATTCTGTGTGAATTTTCTGAATGTGAACTTATTGTTTGTTATGCTATTTGAACATTAATAAAACATATTAGAAAAATAATTAATAAAACCAGCAACACTTACCAAGGAAACCATTTAGCATGCTCCACTCCGGAATAATCCTCAGCCTTCCAGCATCACAGGCCTCAGTCACAGCAGAAACACGTCTAAAGAAATGTTCCTTGGTTAAGCTTCAGTTTCTGTCTCCATATTTCCTCTGTGATGCAGAGGAATATCCAATATTTTGAGAGGGATGGTTCAGTGCAAAGTACTCACGCATCCTGTCATCAGTTTGGTACCACTTTGCAGGATCAGATGGGTAGCTTGTTAACACCCTTTCTGGGTCTAGAGGCTCCTGCTGACAGCGTCTGCAGACCCTTGCAGCAGGCTGCTGTAAGACTATATTGGGCTCACTTCTGGCTGGCTGCTGTTCTTTCAGTTCGTCCTTCTGTGACAGCGTTGATGTTGACAGCGTTGGCGCCACAGCATCTTCCGCCGCATTTCCCGCCGCATCTTTGGGCCATTTCTGCTCCGGGTCTGGCTCGGGCCCGGCCTCTGGCTCAGGTTCACAGCTGTCGGATGGCTGCCCGAGCAGCCCGACAGAAACTTCCGTGAAGCCCCCCGCCGTCTCTTCTTTTGTTCCTCTTCATTTATTTATTTTTTACATTTTGCCGCACCCGAAAGCATCGTGAAAGTTAGCCTACTCAAAAACAACTGCTAGCTTTATTGTGTCCCGCTCTGACTCTGACCGCTTCTCTGACATCCTTAATTGGGTGGCGCCAAAGTTGTAGGCTACAGTCATGGGCTGGCGTTAATGTGACGTACGTAGCTAATGTAACAGTCTGTGGTTAAGATAAACATTGTCACTATTTTTAGTTATTTAATAAATATTGAAATAAATTGTAGATAGGAGTCCTATCCACAAATTCTGTCATAGGACATTTGTACATTTTATTTTAATTTATTTATTTAGAATTTTGTCCCTCTGTCTGGGCCCCATCCAGCCAATCAGGCCCTAGGCACGTGCCTACTTTGCCTTTGCGTTAATCCGGCTCTGGGTGTAAACAGAGTTAGACCTTTGTGAGGAGGTAGAGATTTTACAGTAAAATACTGCCTTTTTCACTTCTGTTAGCTCATTTTGACCATGTTTTTAAATAAAATGCACAATCCCTTTATTTGAGATGTGTTTTTCAGAAAAACGGAACTTAATTATTTTGATATTTGGGAAGTTTGTTTTTCCCCCCTGAACCTTTAAAGTGACAGAGTGCAGTTTCCTGGCACTAGGGGGCAGTACATATATTTTACACCACATCGCCGTGACTGTCGCTAGTTTAAAAAATCATTACGGTAAATGTTGTGACCTGTGGAGGAGAAAACATGCAACATCAGCGTGACTCATCAAACTTTGATGGTCCTTCAGTTAATTCCACCGAGAATATGCAATGCTGATTGTGGTTTTCTGGCTCTGTAGTGTTCCGATCTGCTCGGGGTACAGAGCCTGCCGATAGAGTCATTATACTATGGCAACACCGCTCAGTCAAAATCTATTGCATCTATTTTTTCATTTGGTTCTTTCACATAGGTTTTGAAAGATTTTAGCAGTTTTGTCCTTAAATGAATGTTTCCTGCCACCTAAATGTTTTTGATTGTAGTAACAGAACTTCCGTAAGTCGTACGTCCAGCCAATCATCTAGTGTGATGTCATTGACAGAGGCAGGACTCCGAGCCGGCAGAAACATTTGCGTCGAATATGGAGTCCCCCAAAGACGCTAGACCCATGCCCTATGTACTTTTAATCTGATTTTTATGGTCATATGCAGTGTTGGGAATAAAGCCGTTTAAATATAACGGCATTCTTTTTTAGGTAACGGAATAATCTAATTAATTACTTTTCCCACTGTTGCAACGCCATTACCGTTACTGGGGACGGAAGGTTGTGCGTTACTATGTGCTTGTCGAACGTTGAGCAACAGTGCGAGGCTTTCTGACCACCACACTTCAGCTGCAGCCAAGGAGAGAGAGGTGTCGGTAACGCACTTACAAACACGATGATGATTGGCCGGGTGGGTGGAGACCCTCAGTGTTCTCGCTGTCTCAGTCGCTGCCTGCTGTAGACCCAACAGAGCAGTGATAGGAATAACGCCGTTTAAAATAACCACGTTAATAAAAAAATATTTCTTTCTGTAACGAGCAAACTAATTAATTACTGTCTTCTTTTAACAAAACAATCGTTTCTGTTACTGATAAGGAAATGTGTGTGTTAAGCAGCGCTGTGTGTTGAAGCTGTCATCAGCTGATCAGGAGCTAAAGAGGTAGATGTTTTCATCCAAGCGCATCACGGCCCGTGAAGAATGAGGAAGACGTGATGAATATCTATGACTGCAGGTCTGCAGCCGTGCCCTTCTTAGCATGACAGCGGGACGTCCCAAAGGTCCGCTCACCTGTTCACCGCTCAGACATCCTGATCTTCTACCTTCCTAGATCATCCAGCTGTAACCTGTTTCTGATCATGTCGTCATGACGTCATGGAGCTCAGGTGTTATACCTGTGTGTGTTTACCGCCCAGCTTCAGCTCTTCTGTGGTTGGGTCTGACCCAAGTTAGTAAATGTAAGTCCTCCATCAGGCTTGTGCCTCTTCTAGTGTCATTTTAAAGGATTTTATTTATTTAGTTAACCGTTACTAGATTACCAGCAACAGAAATGCTACTAAAAAGACACAATTATGTGAAGCTGGAAAAATTAAAATACTGTGCAAAATTACATTTATTTCTGTAATTTAACTAGACTGAGAGACCATTTAAAGGCTCGGGAATCTTTACAGGTGTTTCTATTTGCAATTTTAAATTTTAGCTGATTGGGTTATTGTTAAAAATCACACAGTGACCTATTAATAGTCTAGATAAGTGTAATGTTCCTGTTAGTAGTTCCTCCTGTTAAGTGCTTATTTATTTAAATTATTCAGGTTTATAAAAAACATTTGGACATACATTTTATTATGTTCCAGTCATTAGTCATTTATATTTTACTATTATAGTAATTCTTGCATGCTTTAATGAAAAAAGTAACTAAGTAGTTATTTTTCTTGGTAATTAGTAACTTTGATAATCTTGTAACTCAGTTAGTAACTGAGTTACTTTTTTGACAAAGTAATCAGTAACTATAACTAATTACTTTTTTAAGGTAACTTTCCCAACACGTTATAAAGCCTCCAATATTTTTCAACAACTGGGCATCATTTTATTAAGTTTCAACAATGTTTCGATAGATATTTTCAGAGAATAACGGTAACAACTACACATTGTCACTTTAACATCCACATCCAACAAGCAATACATATTTAATATTACTATTTATTTTTGTATTTTGCATTAACTTGGTGAAATTTTATGAGGTAACAATACATTAAATCAATTATGGTAATAATATTAAGATGATGTAATTGCATGGTAACAATGTTAAACCTTTTATTTAAACAACTCCATATTTTAGGGAATGTCTAAAAGTTTTATGTTCAGCAGCTTCAATAAGATACAGGAAGCAAATCATGCTAGTGACATTTCAACTAAGGGATTAAATGAACTTTAATTTGTTAAATCAATAGAAGAATCCAATCAAAATGATTGGATTTTACGTTTAAAATTACAGACTTACAGTAATATTCAAGACTATTATTTGTCTATGATTTTAATAAAAAAAATGTACACACATTTTTTGCACATAAAATAAATATATTTGTAAAAGTGCTGGTTTGAAAATGTCAACTTGCACATCACGAAACGAAAGATTTCATAAATAAAGAGGTGTCCAGATATTTTGAAAGATATATATATATATATATATATATATATATATATATATATATATTTAAATCAGCTACTCATCTGATCTGCCAACACTTACCTGCCCCCATGTCTCTAAATGAGCTGAAGAGCATCAAGACAAGCTGTGTTACAATTCTCCACTCTTTTTTACGCCACAGATCCATAATGAATTAAGGGGAGGCTGCAGAAACAGTCCTTTTCTCCCAGAGTGCTCCACTCAGACCTCTTTTGAGTTTAGCAGTCCAGTGTCCTCGGCACTCAGTGAAAGCTGCCTGGCTAAATGGACATGACACCAGCAGGCTGTTTTCAGTTCAGCTGCACTCTGCAGACTGAGGGGAGAGGAGAGAAGGGAGGCACAGAGGGAGGGAGGGAGGTAGGGAGGGAGCTCTCGTAGCGAGAGTGTGGCGTGCTCCAGTGATTAGAAATTACTTTGATGACATTCTAACTCACTAAAAACTCTTCAGGAGAAAATCCACTACACCGTTGATACCTGAACGGTGGTTTCTGTAAGAGTCGTTCAGGTCTCACTAGACTTTGAGCTACTGTCTGTAAATTTAAAGCTCAAAATGACCCAGTCAAACCCAATCAATGTCCAAAATCCAAACATTTTCTATTTCCTATAGATTAATTACTTTTGCCTTCAAGAATAATATTGTAACATTTATAATCTTCACTAAACTAAATGGGGGTGATGGACTTTAAAGGTGTTGAACATTAGTTTAATCAATACATCTGCAGGGGTCTCTAGTAGGAATGAATGACTTATAAGTCATACTTTGGGGAAAAATACACCAGTTTCAGGACTTAGAAGTGAGCCACATCACAGCTGAGCTTCAGACAGCAGAATTTGGGGTCCTATTTCCTGATACTTTGACATCTAGCCTCTGACTGGCTAACAGCAACATGACTGAACCACTGACTGCTCGGCAACGTTGATGTTTTATCTTCACCAGTGGCGGACTGGCCATCTGTGAGTTCTGGAGAATCCGACAACGGCCGGTGTGCTCTAGGTTCGGTGTGTGCCTTTCATCCCTCCCCCACCCTTCGGAGATAGGATAAAGCAGGCTGCAGCAACGTCCAGCCTCCCAACCAAATGGACCGCTACTGCCACTTCTAATTTTCAGCATTTCCAGTAATTTGTCGAAATCTCCAAGATTTCTGAAAAAATCATCTATCCATCCTCAAACACTCTAACCCAGTCTCCCACATCGCTGCCCCTCCTGGCACACCGCACTTGCGCACCATGAGGAGCCGCATTTTGCACATTAGTTGCATCAATGCCGTGAGTCATGCTGCATATACAGCTTCACCAGCCCTGGCAGAAGTTGCTCACAGTGACAGCAGCAGCATTTGACCAACCAGTGGTTAAATGCGCAGACACACAGGTGGATTCATGGAGAAAAAGAAGAAGAAAAGATCTTAGCGCCTCTGAGGATGAAAATCATGAGGCGCTTCACAAAAACCAAAAACTTAATAAAAAAAGAGCTGGATAGATAAGTTGGATAGTCGAGTCAGTTTCATCTCTAAAGCACTTTCAACTCGGCATGGCAGCTGACCAAAGTGCTGTACAAAACAATTAAAACAGAGGAGTAAAAACTCATAAAAGAGTACAAACAGGAAAAAAGACAGTGGCAGTACAATAACACACACCAAAATAAGTCACAGCCAAGAGCAAAAAACGTTAGATGATAGATGGCATCCAAACGAAACTAGTGAGCAAGCACAAAAAAAGAAAATGTCAAAACAAGAGGAGTGTGCTTCATTCGAACTGTAATTAAGACATTAAATAAGCTCTTGTCACCTGTTGATCTTTCACCAGAGGGCAAATCTTTCACAATAAAGCACAATTTCATTCAACCTGTCAGCACTAGTATGTGTAGTGAATGACTGCAAACACAAGTGATTTTAGTTCAGTTTTGTGTTCGATCGTATTATCTAGTAGTCAGCTTGACCCCATAGGTCAATCCGTTGTGGATGTACATGCAATCACCCAAGCACCACCCTCATGATTTGAAATACCGTAAATCCTCTAATACAGGCTGGTATTCAATTAAAAGCCGGGTCTCCAATTTTGGCCGGTGTCAGAGTCAGCGGAGGTAAATAATGGCCGGTCTCTTATTGTGGCCGGATGGAATGTGGTAACAAGCAAGTATGAGCGTCCCAGCGGCAGGGTTATAGTCCCCAAATCAACCAGCAGAAGGCAGTAGGTGTTCACGCAGACCTTTACTAGGCTTTTTCTTCAACACTTTGTACGCTACAGACATGATCCTCTATCACGCTCCTACCACACAGAGTCATGGTGTCAGTTAACCATGCTAATTCAACCCGCTCCACAGAACACACATCACCTTCTCTGTGGCTTACATAACACTCACACAACACGCAAATCAGCACATAGGAACTAGCAGAACGATAGGAAACACATATAACACAATACCCAGAATGCACCTGGCTTACAACCCCAGCCAGGTCATTACACTATCAAGTTCAAAGAGAACGTGCTGATTATGCTGCAGAACACTCTGGAGAGCAGCAGTAGGGGGTGTATGAACTACAGTAATCCCTCGTTTATCGCGGTAGATGCGTTCCAGACCTGGCCGCGATAGGTGAAAATCCGCGAAGTAGGGACTCCCAGCATGCCCCTCGCGGGGATTCCCTTCACGTCGCACCTACGTCACAAACCGCGGCTATAAACGGAAGTCGCCTTTCCAGCTCACCACTCAGTCATCGTTTCTTCAGATTCACGATCAGAGTTTCCAACCTACCGATCAATCCAACGAACTATCAGCTCATAGTAAGTTATCTTACTTACTTCTGGAAAGCCCGGCATTTCCGTGTCACTTCGTTGACGCTCGAACGCTCGGGGGTTTCCTAGAGCAGCCGGCGTTTCACCGACGCTATCACTTCCGCGTCTGTGAAACCACGCTCCCTATTGAATTATCGTATGATCACATTCTCTGTGATCAGCAACGCGCTGTGCCAGACTGTAGGTACTGACACGCGATCGTTCATGTCAGTTCATTTCCTTTAATGTTTTCTGTCTTTTATTTGCGCCTGATGCGTTTCGCTGCTGTGGAGCGGGGCGCTGCGGGCATCACCTTGTCCTCCGATGCACTGATCACTGATACGGCCGCCAAACAGCAAGCGCTCCGCTGTTTTTGCGGTCGGTAGATCTTTTAGAACTGCAGTTCAAAGGTAACTCATGAGGTGAATATATATGAACCCAGGCAGCAGTTTTTCTTTAGGATTGAGAGGAGATGCAGGAAGATAATAAACAGGCAGGACAGAAAAATAGTCAAATAAAAACAAGTTAGTTTTTGTACCTGGTGGTTGCAACAAACAGACACCATTGAAGGTCATCAGAAGTGAGGAACAGAAAATGAAATAATTATTTTAATGTTTAGAGCAGCAGGAACTCAGAGAGGCTGCAGGCGCATCAGTGAGTTTGCGGCTGCTGCGCAGGGGGAGGGGGGAGAGGGCTGAAGCAGGAACTACCGTTGTTAAAAGAAATGTGTTTAACTTTGAAAATGTGGGCGCAATTTTAATTGTCAAAAACTCCAGTGAACCATTAGTTCATTTTGCTCAAATAGAAATAGAGGCCTGCCTCTAATACTGGCCCTCCTTCCAATAAAGGCCTGGAGCTTGATGAGCTTGAGTCAAATACAGGCCCGGGCCTGTATTAGAGGATTTACGGTATACAAACTGACACCATCACCTTGTAGAAATGTGTGCAAAAGACAGATTCAAACGGAAGGGCAAGACATTTAAAATGAACCCTCTCAGGCTCAAAATAAGGTCTGATAAAAGGACAAACAACTAAGTCCTTCAGGAGTACTTTGAATTATAAAATGCTCATGAATACGTATGTGGAGTAACCAGGTAGGTAGGTTTTAACTGTTGCAAATCTGCAACGCCTGCCTCCAGAGGGTTAAAAGGATGTAACTGTTCATTTGGCAAAATGAGAGAGGGTCTTACTGAGTGACAGAACATTTCAAAAGTTTGTTTAACCACCTCTAGTGTTTGTGCTGCAACACAAAGAGGAAGGAACCAAGCAAATTGAGTATGTATATATATATATATATATATATATGTTTATGGATTTAGCAGACGCTTTTGTCCAAAGCGGCTTACAAGTTAGAGGGTAACTGTGAAGTGCCTTTTTTTTCCCTCCACCTGAACCAATCCTCATGTAACCCTCTTATCTCTATTAAGGTACTGTAGCGCGACTCGGGTTGCGAATGACCACAGTCACCAATTCTTGTCATGTGTCTTGCCCATGTATGTCTGATCTCTGAATTGTGTGTACTGAAACTCTAATTTCCCTCTGGGATTAATAAAGTATTGATTGATTGATTGATAGATAGATAGATAGATAGATAGATAGATAGATAGATAGATAGATAGATAGATAGATAGATAGATAGATAGAGAGAGAGAGAGAGAGAGAGAGAGAGAGAGAGAGAGAGAGAGAGAGAGAGAGAGAGAGAGAGAGAGAGAGAGAGAGAGAGAGAGAGAGATAGATAGATAGATAGATAGATAGATAGATAGATAGATAGATAGATAGATAGATAGATAGATAGATAGATGATAGATAGATAGATAGATAGATAGATAGATACATTTTCATCTGGTTATCTGGGGTCGGGTCGCGGAGCCTAAACAGGGAATCCCAGTCTTCCCTCTCCCCAACCACTTAGACCAGCTCCTCCTGGGGAGTCCCAAGGAGTTCCCTGGCCAGATGAGAGACATAGTCCCTCCAGCGTGTCCTGTGTCTACCTTGATGTCTCCTCCCTGTTGGACGTGCCCAGAAAACCAGGAGGCATCCTAACGAGATGCCACTTCAACTGGCTCCTCTCAATATGGAGGAGCAGCAGATCTACTCTGAGCCCCTCCTAGATGACCGAGCTTCTCTCCCTATCTCTGAGTGAGAGCCCAGCCACCCTTAGTGAAAACTCATTCTGGCCACTTTCGCTGAACCAGTCAAAGCTCTCTCATTGCTTTTTCCTTCCTTCAATCCTGGGACTGCTACACTCCTCGTGGTTGATCCCAATACCAATTTCAAGCTGGGCCCACTCTGAAATATAAATGGGACAATTTCCTGATTTTGCTGCTGAAATGCTTTCCCTAAATGTTTAGTTATAATTAGTTGTTCCTAACTGATTATTGGTGAAAATTGGCAGCTTGTAAAGTTGAACCAAAGCTGGGTTCATTCATGGTTTTCATCAGCTTACTGCTTTATTTTATTATTTTTTTTTAAGAATTATCGTTCCTGTTTTTATAAGTTGGACCAAAACTGATCTGCTCCTGTTGTCTT